TGTCAATTATTTAATTTATCATAATTTTCAGTTTTAAAAAAATACTGTCCATACGTACCGTAAGCAGCTCTGCAGTAAGTCGTTTGGTCGTGGTATACAAATGGTGAACATCCATGAACAAATTTAATTAAACTTAAAATAATCAACAGATTGGTGCCTCGCATAGTTGTGTTACTGGTTATAATCCGTTACTTGAATGAATTTTACAGGAGAATGTGTCTTTATATGCATAAGACCACAGATTTGTCGATTTTTATTGATTTTCACAATGTATACAAAATGTATATGTATCTTCATTGAAAATACTTAAAATTGAAATTTCATCTCCATTACTTTGGAGATAAAATATTAGAATTCTTGTTTTAAAAAAAATCCATTAAAAATAGGAGTGCTCTGTGGTCTCAGAAAATTTTGATTAACCCTATTTAAGCTATACATGCATTTTAAAAACTATTAAATATTCAAAAGATAATAATAATAAGAAGAAGAATAATAATCAATGATGATATTTTTTAATGTTTATCAAATTGTTTTCTTGAGAGAAAAAAATCGCCCCAAAGCCAATTTGTTCTGAGAAAAATCACTGTAACTTTTAATTTATCTCTATTGCTGTCCCTTTTTATTAAGTAAGAAAATAACTTCAAAAGCCAAGTTGTTCTTGAGAAAAATTTTTGATAAGTTCAGACTAAGTAAAATTCAAAAGATCTTTCTGTTTGTTTTATTACTTTATATAAAGATAGGAATTTCCTGTAAATTACAAAATTTAAATCAATCGCGTTTCATAGATATCACAGATTTAAACCAATAAACGATTTATTTCCGACTCGGAAATAAATATCAGACACAGTTTAAAGTCAATTTAACTAATAGAAATGTAGGGATATTTAAGTTCAAAATAGGTGAAAAATTGAATTTGAACGTAAATAACAAAATACCATTTAAATCTATGCTTAATCTCGTATTATAATTTTTTGCTCAGATACGCCATATAAAGCTTTAACGAGAAACAAATAAAATATTAATGAAGAGCGATATGAAAGGTCTAATTTTGATAAGATTGGGCTTTGCCAACGACGAAAAGTAACTCCCGTAGAATATTGACCAAGGGGTCCAGTGGCGAATTTAAGGGGGGTGCACCCGGCGCGACCCCCTGCCCCTTCCTACCCCTTACAATTGTCAACGCCCCCTCTAACTTCAATTTCTGGATCTGTCCCCTTTTTTTCAAATTTTTCTATCCCAAGTGTGCAACTTAACAATTTGATTATAAGATTATCTACTTTAAGATCATGTGAAAAAAAATGTGTCGAAACATATTAATTTTGTAAAAGCCATTTATTATTCGTTGATTGATTCATTATTTTTTTATTGTATGAAATATGTGGAGATAAAAAAGCATTATTCTATCTCAAAAGTCCATAAACATTACAAATTAGGAGCAGAGCAAACACGGACCGCCAAAGTATCAGAGTAGGATCAGGTGCCATGGGGGATTACATGGAAATTTATGACTGAAATGTTCTGATATAGATCTATAGATTTCAATAGCAATGTGTTAAGTATCATACACAATAAATAGAATACAAATATTTAAAGGAAATCCTACATCAGAAAACTTTCTAGGTTAAATCTTTGATATTTGATAATGCCAAAGCTACAGTGACACTGGACTCTTCAGCCCTTAAAAAACTGTCGGCAGCAGGTATTCTGTTGTTTTTTTTAACGATTTGTTTATTGATATAATCATAGAATTATTTTGTATAAAAATATTTATAAATATAGAACAAGGCATTAATTCCGTCTTCTTTCCTTTATAACGCATTTTTTTAAAATCTAAAATTACTATTGATTCCATGCTCCCATTTCAGCTTCAATTTCCATCCGTCTCCTTGTATTCTAAGCCACTCATTTTTCGAACAGCTGGTCAAAAAGTAGTATTTGACAAAATTTTGACCAACGACGGCAATGGTTACAACGAGAAAACAGGGATGTTTGTCTGTCCAGTAAAGGGAACGTACATGCTTGTTGCTGATTTTCTGGCCAGATCAAACAACGACATTAGGTTGGCAGTCAAAGTTAACAAGAAAACCGTAGCTCAGTTGTTCCGTTCTGATAACATGAGTAACATTGCCCCGATGCAGTTTAGTAGGACTGTGATAATAAAACTGAAGCGTGGTGACAAAGTGGAAATTGAGAATGAGAATAATTACGTGTATGTATATAACGGCGCGTTTTCCGGATTTTCCGGAACATTGCTGTATTGAAAAAGATACTGTGGTTGATTTTTTAATAATAAATCTTTTAATGAAATAATTTTGTTTTATCGCTTATTTTTAGGACTTAAATAATACTGAAATCTGCAATATTATTATTCTAAAATTGTAAAGTTCATAATACAAATTTTTTAGCGTAAATTCTTTGATCAGATTAAAAGCAAACAATCATGGTACCTGATCCCACCTCTTATGTTTATGAGGTCCGTTTTCGCCCTCCTCCTAATTTGTATTGTTTTATGGACTTTTGAGCTTAAAATACTGTTCGTCATCTCCATATATTTCATCAATATATAATTGCAAAGCAATGTCTTGTTGTTATTTTGTTTTTTTATTTGGTTGTTGTTGGGTTTTTTATTTGACTGATTTTTTTTTTCTGAAGGAGTATACAGAATCTTTCAATAACATAAATTTTAGAGATTTCTCACACACTTTAAGTTAAAAAAGATTGTATATTGTTTAACGTCTCTCTTGAGAATATTTCACTCATATGGAGACGTCACCGTTTTTTCAAATTTTGATAATTGGCAAGGGCCATTGAGCAGTGAGGGTTCTTTATTTGCGCCTACCGTGACACAGGACCTACGTTTTTAAGGTCTATTTTTTCACTTCTAGTGCCGAAGCTTGGGGAAGGAACAGTCAACCTTTGTTTACATCTTAGGTATTTTAGCGCCGCGATTTCTCACACACTTTAAGTTAAAAAAGAAGATCAATCCCTGTATACAAATTATTCCACGTTTCAAACTATCGTTGGTGCCCCCTGGCATACCCAACAAACTAGGCAGTAATTCTTCAAGTTTTTCATTGCATTGTGATATAAAGTTGTAAATTAAATTTTAAAATGTTGTCTAATGAAATATATGGAGAAAACGAACAGTATTCAACCTCAAGAATTTATTAAACAAAACAATATAGGGGCAGAACAAACACGGGCCTCTAAAACATCATAGGTAGGATCAGGTGTCACGGAGGAGTGAGCATCCACTGCCGACTGGTCACACCCGCTGTTTTCTCCTTATTATGACAGGAAAATAAAGAATCTATCTGTCGACAATTTAGTGTATACCTTGACCTTGTCATCAAATACAATTTATCAATGAGTCAAATGCTGACTCGGATATTTCCGTTATTTCCCAAACATGACAAGAAGCACACGGAAGGAGTAACCAGTCGGCAAGGGATGCTCACACCTTCATGGCACCTGATCCCACCTCTGATGTTTTGGACATCCGTGTTTTCTCTCCTCCTATTTTGTATTGTTTTATGGGCTTTGATCTTGAATAGGGTTCGTAAAATTATTTCCAAATGTTTCTCATAATAATTTCATATATTCAGTATCAAAATCGTCAGTCAGCATTTGATTTAAACAATAAAATGCTTTCTTTGTTTGTTATTACTGGAATTAACGGAAGCAGCTGTTGCAGAAAAAATAATATGACCCGCGTAAGCGAGTTATGTAATTTTTTTTCTGCAATAGCTGCGACCGTTAATTCCAGTAATAACAAAGAAAGACATTTTATATTTTATATTTATATCTGTTTAAATAATCACCTAAAGTAGGATTAAAAAGATTAATTATTGTATTAATGATGCGAACGTCTTTATACGTTTCATTAATGGAACAGCCATCACTGATCAAGAAATCTGAACAAGCGACATGCCTAATGTAGTCCATGCAGTGATTAACGCAATGGGTTTTCTTAAGAAATAAAGGAGAAAATATTTAGTGGATGTAAATATTTAATGTTTAAATTGCTGAAAATGTCATTGTATCTATCATAAAACTTACTAAATGATGACTTTAAATGAGATTGCTGATATTATTGTATCATTAACTTTATTATCAATAATTTATCTCGTTTTAGAAATTGTACATTCTTGCAAATTGGGCCTTCTTAGCTCATAGCCTTTTGCTTGATGAAATTTACATTCTGGTTGATTAATTAACGAGGCCCGATCTAGTTGGACTGCGCATACGTTTTAACGCAGCGTCGACTCAGGCACGTCACAGTACCCTTGACTGCCGTCACAATCACAATAACGTCACAATTAAAATGACGTCAAATTGCGCTAAACTGTTTCACTGATCTTGCATACCTGGTAAACTGTTATTTCTAGTATTTACATGTTTTTACAAATATTTTTTTTTAAGTTAATAAACAACTTTGGAACATGATTTATTTTGTGGTATTTACTTCTTGGTACATATTCATTAATTTTTCCTTGTTTCTTTTCGATTTGCATGTGAGTTAAAAAAAAACAAACACTGCACCAAAAGTAAACGATTTTGTCTTTCTCCTTGAACGTGTTGAAGTTTTTATACACACACTTTTTTATAGAGGACTTAAATATGCATGGATAAGCTTGATTTTAAAAAAATCAGTCTACGAATCATTTCAATGCTACCCCCGAAATATTTTATTTTTCTATATATTACATGATATTAGCAAAATTCGTCATTTGTCGCCTTTTACCCCCCCCCCTTTCATTATATGTATAACAACGTCGAGTGTAAAGGAAAAAAAGAGAAAAATTTGCAAAATGTAAGAATTATTTATTTTTTAGAAACTAATACAGTATTGCAATCGTTTGTTGTTGTTATGTACAGCCATGGCGACTTATTTCATATCTAGTTGAATAAAATAAGTCCTAATTTTGTGTTTTGATAATTTTCACTGTTTAAAGGCTACCTTCAATTTTCTTTTCATTTTTTATAAGAAGAATAAAAATTGCATGATATATGTGAAAAACAAAACATTTCATCGTGTACTTTTTTTAAATTTTCAATTTCTTTGCTTTTTTGGAAAGTTTTACTATGCAATTGTGTATAAAATGACAAAAAATGGTCCATATCTTGACAGTGCCCCCATTTGACTACAATAAAGGCAAGGTAATAAAATTTCATTGTAATTTTTCTAAGCATAATACATAGAAAAATATTTCCAAAAATTAAATTTTTTTATCATTCCGTTTTCGTACTATTCAACTAGATCGGGCCTCGTTAAGAAATCAACTCACCTAACTTTCAACGACTTATCACAAAGAAATGTAAATATTTGCTCGCAAAATTAAGGTTTGTATTGTTATGATACAAAAAAAGACAAATATAGTATAATATCATAATTATCTTTATAAAGTTCTACATAGTAATCTTCTACAACATTCAGCAGACGGATGAACCTGGTACCCATTGGCACACATTTTGTGATCCTCGTCTGGCGCAGTATCCGTTATAGAAAGGACAACCTAAGTCTCGTTCCGTGATCACACATTTGTCTCTGGCGGGAACTCCACTATTAGGGGTTAATTGTTGTGGAATATTGATCTCGACCTGAAAATATTTAGATATTTGAACTTCCTGGAAGTATGGTTACAGAAAGGAAAAAAAATAATATAGTCTGAGAAGTAAATCGTTGATTTCGCTAAGAAATATGAAAGATAACTTTCTTGAGTACCAGTGTTGCAATTCTACCAGAAATATATGTTGAGTACAATGGTGGCAAAACTAACTTTTTCCTCAAAACGTATATATGGGGTTTGTCTAGGCTGTGTATATATACAATACAGCTATCAAGTTGTTTTCATACCTGACATGAGCAGTCGTAACTCCATATTCTGTCCATGGTGGTAAGACGGTAGTCTTCTTTCTCAATAATTCTTAAAGGGTAGGATGACCCTTCATCAACTGAAACTAGATAAAAAGACCAATTTTAATTAACATCCTAGTAAAAACTTTATTTTTCAAATAAATGCTTTCATAAGACATATAAAAATCAATGCCCATGTCTTAAAACATTCAAAAGAAAGAGAGGAGTTATCAAACATTCATTAAATAATAAAATGTCTATCTTTGGTTGTTTGTACACAAAAAATACATAACCTGCGTAAGCAGGTAATGTATTTTTTTCTGTAGTAGCTGCGACATTAATTTCCGTATTTAAATAACCAAAAAAGCATTTTATTGTTTATATTAACATCTGTTTGAAAACAAAATATTCAGAGTATAACTAAATATATGGTAAATATTGTATTGTTGATGAATATGTCATTGAATGCTTAATTGATGGAATAGCCATTGTTCAAGAACTCTGTGCACATGGCTTGCTTAGTGTTGTTCATGCACAGATTCATGGCAATGGTCGTCATAAGAAATGGAAGTATAACAAGGTTTAAAATAATTTTTGTTTCTTTTCATCATTAACGATTCAATATCTTAGTCAACACAGGAATAAAGCTTTTTCAAACAAAGTTAATATTGTTTATAAACTATTATGTTTTAAAGTACAATAAATGAAAACTTGCGATATATGACGTATGCCTTGTTACGAGTCATTCTTGTAGGTCCACACGAACTCATCCTCCCTCTACCAGCGACTGTAATGATCCCCCCTCGGGAGGGCACCTCTTCTAGCTACAACAGCATGGCAGAAATACCAATAAAGCAGCGTTGTTGTCAAAGAGTACACTTGAGTTTATACCTAATTAGAAAGAGTCATATATGTAATGCTAATTTCTTAAATGTTCTGTTATTCTTATTAATTTTGTTATTTGGTTTTTTTCCTTTCTATGATTCCATGTTGAAGTGTGTGTTTTTATCTATTAAATTATTAATTTTATTTTGTTGTCTTTTTTCTCCACTTTTAAAAAAAAATTGCTATCCTTATTTTATTTTGCTTATTTGCTGTAGTTTCTTTCAAAAAATTAAGGAATTTTTAATCATTCTGCATTTTAGTTATTATCAACCAGAGATTTAGAATCTGCATTTTAATAAAAGATTTGTTTTATCCCCGTAAAAGAAGATTCTAGGCGTAAAGAATTTACCTTGTCCAACAGTGTACTTTCTTTGTTTGTCCGCCAAAAAGATTGGTTGAAGCAATGGCATTCATATTTCACATGTGTTATTTTTGTGAAAAGCCTTTTTTCCGGGAATCAAGATGTCTGTCCTCTTGACCTTGAAAGTTTGCTCACGCACATTTTCACAAATTTTAAAACTTTCTTGTATCTCTTTTAAACCAGTGGGGCTGGGACTTCCATACTTCAAATGTTTATTCCTTCTTATGTGGTCTCTCAGTAGGCACAAACATTTCTTACCTTTTAACCTTGACCTTTGTTTTTGACCATTTTGACATATGATTTTACAAAAATTAACCCTTTCCATTTTTTTGGAACGAATAAAGCTAGTCTAGATTTTGCATTTTATACATTCCTTGTTGTAAAGTTTTTACTCGAATTCTATCAATTTTAGCCCTAGCTTGACCTTATAGTTAGACCCAGTTTTGATTTTTTAAAAAGATCTAGATCAGGAAGATGAATATATGGAACAGTTACTTTACTGCTTAAAGACTTTTTTGACAATTGGCCATTTAGTCAGCTTTTTTTTTAAATATCAAATGGATTACGGGGGATTAATAACCTACCTTAAAATTTGTTGTTACTTTTATCTGAAACAAAGACTCATCGGCCGACTCCCAAGAAGCCTGTACTATACCGACAATAGCTGAAAAAAAATTCAAATTTTATAAGGATATATTTTTAAAGTGATATTTATACTTTGTATCAATATCAAATATATCTATTTAAAAAAACTTAAGTCCATTACTTTAGAGTCATTGTAATTATTTCAAAAGAAAAAGCATTAGTCTTACCATAAGCAGAGTTGCAGAAAGGGGTCTGATCATGGATTACATATGATCCACATCCAAAAACAAACTTAATAAAATTAAAGACTAACAAAACATTGATAACTTGCATGGTTGTTTCAGGAGTAATTTTCACTTTGCGTAGATGAAATTGAAAGGGAAATTTACATTTATATACACTGGTCAACAACCACTATCGATATTTAGAAATTACCACTGATGACGAATTGAATAATTTTGAGTAATTTAGAAGGCAATTAAGTGATTATTTTCATGTCGAAATCTAGCATTACAAAAATGTATGGTAGGGCATTGTATTTATTAATATGCAGAATATACGTAAAATAATCATAACCCTACGTATACGTAAATAATCATAACCCTACATATACGTAAATAATCATAACCCTACGTATACGTAAATAATCATAACCCTACGTATACGTTACACATAGAGATCATGCTCAAACGTCTTATCACAAGCTACAAATTGTAAGCAGAGCAAATATGAAACTGTTTACATTAACACTAGAATCAGAAGCCAAAGGAAAGGAAGTATCCCAAGTGATGCCTCACATTCGCCTTGTGCCCTTTAAACAAGCCTTGAAAGACAATGTAGAGTAAGCTCGTCATTCAAAACTTTTTGGAAAGCATGAGCTCTTTACATGTACAACATGATACATGTATATAAATGATGTATGCATTTCTGAAAATTTATTTAGGAATGTTTTTAAGTTTTTAGTGAGTTTTTGTTGTGTACAAAATCACACATACTTGTCACGTAGGCAAAAAATGTATGCATTTTGAACATTTTGGCGGCTATTGTATTTCATAGAGAACAGATAATAAATAATTATTAACCGCTTTGAACAAAATGTCAAAATACCAGAATTACCGGAATTGAAAATGGAGAGTTAATTGACTCAATAAATGTTTCAAATAAGCTTTGAATTATGAAAATTCACTTTAATATTATTCATAATTTTAAGAAATCTAATGTCTATCATGTGAAAAGATATTATCTGTATATCCCTTTGTAATATCAAACAAAAGGAAAGGGGTCCAAGTATGAAATGCAATGCACGTTCACTAGATTCAATCAAAACTTGAGTTATATAGATTGTTAGAACCCACTTTTGGAAATGTCATGGTGCTTTCGTGGGTAGGGCAGTAATTTTTATCTCAGGAATTTGACGAAAGACATTCTAGAGTCATTTACTCATTATTTCGCGTAGGATTAATTGGTAATAATGTGAGGTTATAATTCAGTCAATCGTTTAACTGAAAATAGAAATGTTTTCTAAATTTGAAGACATTAAAAAACTATAATAACGATTGATTTAATTTCCTTATTCATTATTAAATGTTTATGGCTAATCAGGTTTTATACATGGGAGAGGAATATCAAAGTTTTTGGAACTTGTTTCCAATCCCCTTTGATATATTGAAACATTCAAAGTATATTTGCTTAAATGTTTTATATATTGAGGTGTAAGGAATTTAAAAGACCATGATTTTCTTTCCTCATCACAATTGTGCAACTTTACATAGAAATGGTAAACTGCGCTTGAAAACTAGCAGGGACTATATTTTTGGCGGAATGGTGGTGTATGAAAATATCTTCTTTTCTGCCTCTCAAAATTATAATAGAACAACGAATTTAGTTATAACTTTTACACAATCGAAGACTTGGAGAAAATTTCAAATGTAAGTGAACTTAATAATAAGGGACTAACCTTTCAAAATATATCAAATAAATATATTTTTTCAAACAAACTAGAACTTTATTAGCTTTTAAACGCTTCCTATCAAAGTGCAGATTTGAGCCAAAAATCAATAAAAAGTACTTTTTCTCTCTTAGTAAACGATCAACACTTTTTGTTTTTGTATCATTTTGTACATTTATAGGACTACTTTATTATATGTGAAATTAAGAAAAAGTTAAATATAGGAAGCATATGAAAATAACTGATATATCCTAAAAAATTAAGAAAAACAGAGAAAATTCGGAGTAGCCAATATCCAGTTAAGTTAAAGTATTTATGTAAATTTGGTAATATCATGCTATAGACCCGATATAGTAATATGTTTTATGCAAAAAGAACAATCATTTAACTTTTGAAATAGAAGTAGGTATCACATAATTGGCAACAGTTAAATTTTTATTCTTAATGTCAAGGAAAAAGATAATGACCTGACCTTGCCTCTATTATAAAACGGTCAAATTTAATTTCACTGATACTATCACTTACTGATATTTTTCTTCTTGATTCTGTGAAAATTTCATTAATTTTTAAATATTAGAAATATGAGAAGAATTCAACCTTAAATATGTTTAAATAAACACGACTGTCTTGAACCACGTTTCTGTACGTTATGGAGCTATTAAAAATATTTCCTTTAAAAAAAACTTAATTATAGTGTGACATGTGTAAATCGACCCACATAAATATACCCAAAAATTCAACTATATCTTCCCTCGTAATTGGTTAATATAATCTTATTGTATTTATAAAAACTTTCATTGACCATGTTATCAGTGATGAAGGTCGAACAATTGCGTTGAAAATTTTCAAGCTTTGAAATATAACGGATTATTCAATCAAAAAATTACATAATTTCATTTTAAAATATATATAATGAATTGGATTTATAGCTAAAATTTGAATCGAGGTATAATAATTATCTATATCTGTTATTTTTCAAACTGGAAGTGCACATTACATATAGAGAAAGAGAAATGTCACTTGACAAGGTTCAGCTGTTATCGTACGTACACATATGGTACAAAATAAAATATTTTAAAATCATATTATTCCAGTTCCGGTTATTGTATAATTGTTGTTTTAATGTGATTTAATAGTACAATTTTATTTAATGTCTACATGTATATTTTATCAAATGATTTTTCTGAACCACAATGATTCGGGGGCATATAGTTTCTGTTTTTTTTTTGTCTGCTACTTGACATTAAATTGATTGGAGTCAGTACCTTCGTATTTTAACATTCAAAACTTGAACAGTTGCCATAACTTTTGTACACTGAGTTAGTGCTAGGGTAGTTACATTTTCAGATGGAACTTCTACCGTCTTCAGTAGGTTGTACAACAATAATTATACATGTATTAATTTCTCCAAAAAAAAAAAATCAACTCCAGTCTCGTGTCAAAATACCCGAATCGGTAGGGGAGATTCAAGAATTATTTTTCGTTAGCCTGAACGTAAACCTCAAGTGAAATAAAATACTAGTAGTAACGCTTTTTAAACTCGTATCCACTAATTCCATACGAAACTTTAGCAAGAACTTTCTTGGGTTATACCGGATTTAATATAAGTATTCTTTCTAATAAAACCTTCTATGACTTTGATCATGGACGTTCACATACATCTTAAAAATTGATTTGGTAAAAATTTTTTAACTGCTGGTGCAAGGAATTTTATATACATATGCATTGTGGTCTGATATTCCTTTGAGTACCAACATGTCAGACCTTGTACCTTTGAATTGTCTTTTATTTGAAGAATATAAGCCTTGGCAATGAGTTCTATACGAGGCATCAATGTTTCACAATTACACTTGTTATACCACCTGCTTGAAAAGCGGGAGGGTATAAAGTAATTCGTATGTCCGTCCGTCCGTCTGTTACGCTTTGGGGTACCCATCTCTCATCTGCAACTACTCTCGTACCACTGAATAAAATTTGATGAAACTTTTACAGAATCTTTATAGCATATTACCTTTGTGCACTTCCTATTTTACTTTTTGATCCGACACATATTTTGGGTTTTCCATAGCAAAACATGGACAGTGCCATTATATTCATAGGGGAGGCGGGGTATCATTTAGTGAACTCATTGTTCACAATACCTCTAGTTTCTTATGTTTTCATTCTATTTCATTTCAGCTCTCTGTCAATTTTACAAATTCTTTCTGATAAAAAATTAACATTTAACGTATTTAACATACAAAGGGACTGTGTGATATTGGATGGGGTAGTAGTTCAAGTACAAGAAACAAAAAATTTATTTATCACAATTACGTTTTATTTTCTAAATCTCTTACAACTTTCAGCAAATGGACGCTCCTGGAAACCACTGACAATCACTTGACCCACACCGTGATTGACCTCTACAGCGCGTGCGTCCACAGTATCCATTTTGGAATGTACAATCCCATTCTCGCTCTGTGATCACACATTTTTGACTGGCAGGGACATTACTGTTAGGAATTGATTGTTGTGGAAGGTTGATCTCGACCTGAAATTGTTTAAAGGATCTGGGTTCACCGTTTTATACAAGTAAAACTCTTAAAAATAAAAAAGGCAGATGTAGATAGAATATGAAGGGTTTCCAAAAATGTAAACAGCGTCTCTCTGTATTATTTTGAAAAACATCATCTGTCAGACGTAGGAAAGTTTTTTTTAAAGAAACAAATGATAATAATTAAGTAATGATCTAGTTATGTTGGTCAAATTATTATCCTCCTAGGCACCTGATCCCAACATTGGGATTTCCAGGGGTCTGTGTTTATGTTTTCGTCTCAGATGTGTACTGTTGGTATTTTTAAAAGATTGATCACGGTTCGTATATCCACCATTTTTCACATAAATGTATCAAAAGTTCTTACTTTACAAGCGCAGTCGTAACTCCTTATTATGCCTACAGTGCTCTGGTTGAATTCTTGTTGCCCAGTTATTTGTAGTTTGTTGGTTGCCTCGTCCTCAATGGAAACTATACAAAATAATCATTTAAACTAATCAAAGCTTCAGCTTTAAAAACGACCATTTAAGAATATTGAAATTAATTAATAGTAACACATAATTTTTACCTCAACACTATTATAGTTTAATATACCCGGTTTGAGATCATAATAGTCTCCATATTCCTTTTTTACAAGAAGTAATGAATCTCGAACAAATTTAAGGACACCAAAGGAGCACAATTTTTTTAGTGTTTCGAAAGTACGAAAAGTGGACTTGCCATATAAGATATATTCCTTGTTGAGTCTAAGCCATGTTGGGCCACAAGAATGTCCCCATCCTCTACCATACACTGTTATTATCTCTCCTTTGTTGGCTAGTTGTCCCTAAAAAGAAATGGTTATGGAACAGCAATGCACTCGATGAATACACAAGGAGTATTTCGAACAAAAGAGGTGAAAATGCTTCGAAATAGGATATTCTCTTGAGCTCGCTTTATACTGTTTGTGGAGTCTGTGTTTTTTTTTCTCCTTGTAGTTTTATTTTAAAAATTTTTTAAAAGAAATTAAAGAAAAAATAGCTGTAAAAGTAATGACATCCTGTAAGGGTTTTTTTTCAAAATCTTTTATCTTATATTAAGAAAAAAATAACTTCCGATGAAAAATTTAACAGAAAAACTATAATGATATAAAACATATAAGGGGAACATAACTGTTAAACAAACCAAGAGTTTTTCAAACATTTTTATAAAATACATTTTCCGATCCCCGCGGAGAAGGGGGGGGGGTCGTCTGAAATCATGAAATTTTGTTACTTTATTTGTTAGTATTGATATAATTCCTTCACATTGCAGTATCGACATCTCCCTTTTCCAGTATGTAACTCCACCTTTTAAAACCCCTCTTGAAAAGTGCGAGGGCATATAGTAATCGGGATGACCGTCTGTAAGTTCGTCTGTTACGCTCTGGCTACCAGTCTCTTATCCGCAACTCCTCTCATACCACTGAATGAAATTTAATGAGACTTTCATAGAATCTTTATTTTTTACATAATTGCAATTGTGCACCTCATATTTTACTTTTTGATCCGACACATATATTGAGTTTCCCTGGATATTTCCATTATATTCATATGCGATCGCGAGGCGGGAAGTATCATTTAGTTAGCTCATTGCTTACAGTACCTCTAACTTTGAATGTACCGGTACATAATATTTTGGCAATTTATTAGTTTTGCTTTGATTTTCTTTTTTTTTAAAATGGTAGAACTTTATTTTTTAAAATTTCCTTTTTTTCTATATTTTCATTAATTTTATGTAATCATTCTTTTTATGATTAAATAAATTTTATCTGAATCAACTTAAATTTTCGTGTTATTGTGAATACCCTGCAAATATCTACAATTATAAAATAAGTATTTATTAAAGTAGCACAGGACTGATCAAATTTACCTTAATCATTGATGTAACTCGAACTTGAAAAATGGACGCAGTGTATGTTTCTGATGATTCTTGAACGTATCCGGAAAACACTGTAAATAAAACCAAGATTCAAATAAAATTTCTATAGATATTTCAAAAATAATTTGTTTAATAATTTTGAACATGTGTATTTGTTTTTCTTTTTCATTGAACCTACCATAATCAGCGTTGCAGTATATGTTCTGGTAATGGTATACAAATGGTTCACATCCAAAAACAAATTTAATTAAACAAATTAATACGAACACTCTGGCGCCTTGCATGGTGTGTTAGTAGGTTAAGGAAACCTTCTTTATTAAAGTTGAATTGTTTTAACTGCATTTATATATAAAAGCTAACAAACACTATTGATTTTCAGAAATTAACGTACTGAAAACAAAATGATTCATTTGCAACATATGTTACGCAACCAGACAAGTGATGTTTATCATATAGAAATTTAGAAATGTGAAAATATATGGTGGAACATTGCATTACATTACTTAAAATAAAATAGTGGAATTTTTTAAAAAGTTATAACAATTGTCTCTTTGATTACAAAAGTGAGATGAACTGAATATGGGATTATTAAGCAGACTACAGGGGGCTATTGATAGCAGAACATGATAATAATAACTATATAAATTATTCATTTATAATTAGCCTAATACGTGATTCTAGGGTCGTTTAATTCTAATCATGATTACAACGACTAAGTCATGTTTTGATCTGGGAAACCCTCAAAATAAGTGTAAGATAAAAAATTGAAATAAAAAATCACAATGGCACTGTGTAATAAAGAATCTGTAAAAGTTTCATTAAATTTTATTCAGTGGTATATGAGGAGTTGCGGATAAGAGATGGGCACCCTTCAATATTACAGAAAGAATGGCAGTGTCCATGATTTGCTCTGGGAAACCCCTAATATGTGTAGGATTAAAAGGTAAAATAAGAGGTGTAAAATGGCACTATGTGACAAAGATTCTATAAAAGTCTCAATAAATTTCATTGTTGTGGATGAGAGATGATATCATATATAACTTCTGCTCTTCAAGCAGCGGAGGGGGGGGGGATATACATTAATTGACTTTTTAACCATTAACCAACATGTATTAGGTCCGCACTATCGACACATTAATATGTTCGCACGAACGATGCACAGTAAAAATTCTTACTAATTAATAATAGTAATTAACCTATATTACTATATTAGGTAATTAACCTATATTAACTTTTTCCTTTTTCTCTCTCTTTTTTTTGTTTTGCTCTATTTCGGACAAAGAAAATGTAGATACTATCGTATTGATATAAAAATAAAGAAACTACATTGGTTAATATATCCAATGGATCATTGGTTAAATGTGCTAGACTGATGAATAGTAAATTACTAATCGTAAGCATTTTCTGAACATTTATATCCTTTTTTGTGAGAAATGTCTTCCATAAATGATAATATCTATAGGATTGTTCGCTTTTTTAAGTGTTTTGTTGTTTTGAACATATTGTTGATTATGAATTGCGCACCTGATTGATTTAAACTAGTTTAGGGGGAATCTAGAAAAAAAAACTTGTGTTTATTTCGTTTAGAAATGTTTTCAAATTAGAATTTGATATATGATAGTTTAAACTAAAATTCAGTATGAAAAGGTATACTGTAATATAATTACATATTTTCGTGGGATAAATTTTCGAGGTTTGAGGAAAAAAATATTGTTTTATGGGAATTTGATTTTATATTGGAAAATGTTTAGTAGAAATGCATATGGATTTTTATATTTTGTGGTGGTCATAAATTCGTGGTTCTCTCCATACATCGTTAATAATAACAACGAAAACAAGTGCTAATATTAAACCTGTGGATATAAACGCTACAATCCCTTTTGGTGCCATATTCAAAACAATTATTAAATAAGATCCATGCAAAACTTTAAGTTTACCCAGAAGTTCATGTGTGTGTTGCACGTGCGCGCATTTCTTTAATGACCATATCATCTTGTCTACACAATCTATATATTTCAATATACTAAATATTTAAGCATTTAATCCAAAACTATTTTAAAAATACGCTTATTCAAGTGTATTTTTGAATTTACTCATTTCACGTACACGCACGTGCATACATGAGCATGGTGACCATAATTTAGAAGTCCATTACATCTACTATGTTCAAAAATTTGGTTGAAAACCAAATATTTTTAGTTTCAACCAATCAGATTAGAAAGTAGGTGTTTGCATATGCATTTTGACCATACCTTCTTGTAGAAGTCTATTATATCTATCTATGTTTCAAATCCCATCCTGTTTGGTTGAAAACCAAGGGAGTTATAGCTATTTAAAATTTTAGAAAGCGCACGTGCATGCACGGTTTTCAAAAATTTATTATTTTGTATAATATCCTAATGCATGGCAAAGTAAAATTTCAAAGGATTTTGCCAAAAAACAAGAAAGATATTGAACTTTATTTTAATTAATCAATTGCGCATGAGATCTTGCTATTTTGTCCATGTCATATTGTCTATGTTACTAATATATCCTTATATTATTTGCTTAAAATCAGAAAAAAGTTTAAGAGTTTCAAAGCATTTCATCAAAAATTTAAAAAGTTACGCTTAAAAGCATCATATTGATCATTTCTCGTGTTGCATATATTGCAAGCACGTGCGCGCAAAATGAAAAACTTCGTTCGGCAAATCTACGTAACATGTCTACTGACCCTAAAAACATTTACCTTAGTCAGATGTGTATACGTATTCGCGGACAAAAAAGTGCTGTAAGAAGAAAAATTAATAATAAGAAACAGAGTAAAAACAATATTTCCCCAACTTAGCTGAGGATGCATTAAACCTGTGGATATAGTACAATGACATCAAAACAATTAGTTGAATCATTCAAAACAAGTCTATATATGTGTGTGTTGGTTTCGTTTAATTCATGTCTCGTCTTTTTAAAACACTTTTAGAATTTCCAAAACGACCATGAAGGAAGTCAAATTTGTTAGGTGCTAAAAATTCAAATATAGATCAATTAGAAAGCAAACTTCACGACTCTTCCTATATTGAAAAGGAATAGATTGAAAGAAGGAAATTAATTTTTTTTAGATTAAAGGAAAAAGTTCTTTTTAATCAAAACAAAATTATTAATTAAGCGGACATCATCTTTTTTCTAGTGTATTTATAGAGGAGAAAGTATGAACTCTAGTGAAAGCGTTTTCGAGTTCATTTGCAAAACATATTGATTCATAAGCATAGATATACATACATGCATATGTATATACTATTGAGGACAACAAAGGCTGTGGAAGTCACTTCTGGTGCCTGATTTAAATATATGGATATAATAATAAATCTGTTAATTCTTATCTTCATTAGCTGAGGATACATGCATATCTTTTTTTTAAATGACCAAGAAATCACTGATTTTGAGAAGAATTTTCAAATATGTTTCGAAATAAATTTTTTCACTAATAAATAATTTAATCATTTCATATTGCTACATTTTCCGTGTTCTGTGGTTCTTTAGTTGATTTTAAAATTTCTCACCCTGTTTTGAAAAAAAACAATTATTAATTGCTAAGTGACATTTCCCTTTAACTTACTATTTAAAGACTGTCATCTGTTGAAAGACTGATAAGGTATGAAGTACGTTATGTGATTACTTAAATGTGTTTTCAGCATTTTGAAATTCTTTATTTTTCATATCATTTCATTGTTATTTAAGAAAAAATATTTGAATATTTGAATTCATCAACTCTAAGCAAACATTTAAATCCCAATCATTTTGTCTTATCTCTAGTTACAAGATTGCATTTCTATAAAATATACTATCTAGTTTTCCAGGAAAAAATTCATAATCATGTTTTAACATATTTCTATAGAGAATGGACCATATTCCCCGTGTGTCAAAAGTTCTTTATGCTGGACTGTGTTGGAAGATCGGCACCCCGACAGAAGTGGGGTTCAGGAGGGACGTCAGGGACATATTTGAGATGATCAGGGAACCTTTTTATAAGTGTAGAAATTCGGCGCTTATGGAGAGCGGTAGCTGGAGGGAGGGTTTTCGATTTGATTCATCCGACAGAGATTGTATGTACTGGTTTTGTAACTACAAACTAATAACAGACATTTGTCAATCCCATGTATGCAATGAATCAACAAAAGATGTTATTTTAATGGAGGATTCTGACACACCGCCAGGATTTGTCAAACTACGCCTTCTTACACCCCCGAGACAGCACATGTATTTTACGATACCATGTCTTCGTCCAATTAATGACGGCAATTATATATCTAGTTTTCTATGGAGTAAAAGATCTATTCCGTTATTTGCAAATAGTAGACAATACCGAGGAGCGAATATGGACGCCCATGGTCCTTGTGTTAGTGGTAACATAGGATCTATTGAATTCGACTTTGCTCTTTCTTTTGCATCATTATGTTGGCCAAAGTTATTGAGAGTTTGGGTAGACAGATGCCGAAGTCATGCGTGGCCACCTGCACCAGTGTTGGAAACAATTCTAAAAAATGGTTATCATTGTGTGCCTGTGGGAAGTAAAATTGAATCGACTTCTAACGATCTGGAATGGAGATTATCGTTTTCTCAAGCCGAAAAACACATAGTGTTTACCATGAATCATACACAATTTCTGTGTTACGGACTTCTGAAAATATTTTTGACGGAAGTTCTCAATCAGAGAGAGGAACCCAAATTACTGTGTTCATATTTCATGAAGACCACAATGTTTTGGATAATACAATTAGGAAACTTCCGATGGTGCCCAAACAATTTACTTGATTGTTTCTGGAAGTGTTTTAAATATCTCATTCAATGTGTTTATCGTGGAGTGTTTCCCAATTTCTTTATTCCACAGAACAACATGTTCATAAACAAAGTAATCGGTGAGGCACGTGAATATCTTTTAGAACATCTTTTCCAGTATTACAGAATGGGCGTGTCCTGTCTGCTGCTTAGTCCTACTCTCAGATCAATCCTAGAACCAGCCCTCAGTAACCCCCTCTTCGAAGGAAGATCTATAAATATTGTCGATGGAGATATTTCAGGAATGATTGAGATATTTCAAATACCGCTTCCTGTCGGATGTATATCAGATTCTTATCTGTTCTTGAAATCCATTGAAAAGGTGTCAAAGTTATGGATCTCACCCTTCCAAATATTAACAATACAGTTTTGTACAGCTGAAACTCTCGTTAATTTAGCACGGGTAATGGAAAAGAACGCTCCTTTAAGTTTCACACGTAAAAGTTTGTATAACTTTGACAGAGTGATTTGTAATACACTGAAACTGGCATCAAGATTAGGTCCCGTGTCTACTTTACTTTTTCTAGCATTGTATTACTTCAGAACAGAAAGATACGGTATGACATTAAGAATCACTTATCTCGCTAAACAAAGACTGTCTCATCCCTATGTCATATGTGATCAAATAACAGATACACGGGTTTATAGCGCAGCTCTGTGCAACCTCTCTTTGTTTAGAAAGATGAATAAAGCCTGGGCAAACACTATACATTTAGAAAATGATGATTTCTATCTTGAAGAATTATGTTTAGAACAAGATGCCAGTGAACAAAATGGTGAGATTCTTTTACATTTATCGCCGTATCTCCTAGTAGACATGCTGTTAGTGTTACCACACTATAGACTGGGTCATATATCTCGGTATTTACAGACACTGACAGACCTACAGACAAAGCTGGTTCAAGATGATCGGAGATATGTTCCTGTCCATTTCAGAGACATATCCTGGCAGATCCTTGGTATCTGTCAGCATATTGTCGGAGACTTACACGGGGCCTTAAGGTCCTACCAAGAGTCGCTTAGGCATGAAGCTTTTCACAGAATACGAGAGGCCACAGATATAAGAATAAGACGTGTGAAACAACAACTGTATAGAAATATTAATTCAGAAGCCTAGTCATGTGTGTTTTAACAAGTTTCAAAGTACAAGATAGAGGATCTGTCTAGTGTGTTTAGGAATAAATGATTTTAAAAGTACTTGGACACAGATTTGAAGTTATTATTTTCTCTATAATATCACGACTTGTATATTTTAATAGCATTTCACACAAAAATTTATTAAAAATCTTATTTCATATAAAAGATATTAAAATTTCAAATATTTTGGCGGGTATCATTTTGTAAATGTACAGCTTTGTAATGTAGGTGTAATATGTTGTGCATGTTCAAATCTTGTAGAATCAAAGAAGGACTGGTACAATAATTGAATGTTTTGTATACTAGTAAATAGACTGGGTTAGACAATTGATGCATAAACCTGTACTTTGAAGTATACATGTAATTCAAAATACAAATTCTCATTCTTGTCAATAAATGTTATTTTTGTCTGTTTGTTTGCTATACTTACTGTCCGTGACGCCTTTGGCATAAAGGGCGGTAACAAGGGGTCTTCATCCTTGTCTGTCCCTGGCTAGCTTAAATTTTAGAGTGTACCCCAGCTTTAGTTTGGCTTCCACTCTCCGCCGCCAAGTGCCTTTGGGCCTTTCTCTCTTCCGTTTTTCCTCTGGTGTCCAGAAGAGAGCTGTATTTGTGATACTGCCCGAGTCCCTTCAAACTTCTAAGTACATGGTCAAGCCAGTTCCAGCGTCTTCTGATATTGATGTGGCCATGTCCTCTTCCTAGAAGCTGTTGAAAAGTCCTGATTTGAGATGGTGTTTGCCCAAAATATTCTTAGGATCCTTCTCAGGGACTTTGTATGGAATGCCGACAGCTTGCTTAAGGACATTGGCAAGTCACGGTTATCCGGAGAAAAAAGGTTTATATCATGGGTTTATTCACTTATAAAACTGTGATTGAGAGTGATCCCCCGTGTAGAATTCTCTATGAAATGAAAACCAGCAAAGAGTACATTTTACAGAGGTAAACAAAAGCATATGTGCTTCCTTCAACGGGTAGAATCATCTCTACAGCAAGAAAGAAAAACGGTGATTGTTTTGTTGTACATTGTGTTCAGGGACAGACAGTAAACAGTGGTCAACAGACCGTTATTTACCGTATACCCATGCTGGGAAGGACAATCACGAGATATGACAAATGCCGAGAACCTGTCTTTACCATTATGAATACGAATTAGATTCTAAGGGAAGTAACTCTAAAATAATGAACAGTGTTGGTAGATCTGTGTCATGTTTCTAAATTTGTGTTTTCAGTCATGATATCTAGATGTGATTGGAAATGAGGATACAATAATGTATAAAATATATAAACTTTCTGAAATGACTGGATTTTGGAAAAATTTTATGGTAAAAAATTAAGTAGGTCCTTTTTATCAACATTTTACATAGGAAATGCATTGAGAATTGTAAAAACATTGATTTGACAAAATTTAATAAGGAAGGGTGGCTTGGTGGGTTAAATGTACCCGAATATAACATGTTTATTATCATTACACCTGTTCAAGAGTTCTTGAAAAAATCTATACAAAAGCCAGGAACCTTGCCAATGTCCTTAAGTCACTCTCTGTTATTTTCTAACACTCTGATCTATACACGAGGATAGGTAGAATACAGCTCCTGAATAGTTTTGTGTACTGATTTGATCTTTAGATAGTTTGTAGGTTCTTGAATACTGCTCTTGTTTTTGATAGTCTCTCTTTGATCTCATTTTCTGCTCTACCATCTGTTGTTACTTTAGGTATGTAAAGGTGTTGGTGCATAGAAGGATGTGTTTTTCCAATTTGACTGCTTATGGATTGTTTACATTTAAGGTCATGAGCTCTGTCTTTTTGGTGCTGAACTTAAATTCAGTCCAATGCTCCCTGCAAATTAGTGGAACCTGTTGGTTTTTGTATAAAATGTGCTGGTAGAAGTGAGAGAATAAGGTTATATCATAAGTAAAGTCCGGGTCTTCTAGTGTTGTGAATGTACCCATCTGATTCCTATCGGAATATCAGATGTGGTATTCTTCCTGACCCAGTCAATGGCTACAGCATTGAGATACTCCTCTTTTAATGTCAAAGCCATGCTGGTGTTTTCAACTCTGCATCGGAAGTTAACATAACTCTTAATGACATCTATAAGATGTTGTGGAAGGCCCTAAGACCGCACAATTTTCCAAAGACTGTCTATGAATACGAGTACTTGGAGTAAATATTTGATCAAAACACCCTCGCCCTGGTCTAAACCCTGCTTGTTTTTACGCAGTTTGGCATCCACAGCTGTGGATATTCTGATAATATGATTTTATATAGCCATAATCTTACTTTAGATGGGAAGAAGTGTTATTCTTCAACAATTGTTGCAGTCATTCAAGAAGCCTTTCTTTGGTATTTTTGATCTGTTTTAATCTCCTATAATTTTTATGAATGTTGCTTCCTATCCTCCTCGTGCCTAGTGGGACATAAGGCCTCCACAGAGCGTCTCCACTGATTTTGTTTGGTTGCTGCTGCTGGTATATTGGGCCTACACTACGAGATTTTCCATACTTTAAAGCGTCTTTATCCATTTTAATCTGGTCCTGATTTTTTAAAAGAAGGCTGGAAATAACTTCTAACGGCAAATAATTATTATTTGGTCCAGCATAGTTTTTTAACCTAATTCGAGTATGCTAAATCCGAAAAAATATGCTGGCCTTCATGAAAATGGCGTTAAAGAGGTCAAAATGGCGATTCAAAATGGCGGACATCCAATTTTTCCAATTTTCTCTAAATGTCGTTAAAAATGGAGAAGTAATGAGTGAATATCTTACTGAGTGTAGTAAAACTATAAAAAATAAAATAAAATGCTAACATTATTAGTTTAACTCAGAAAATTTAGCCGTTTTTACACTTAATTCGAATTTTCTCTGATTTATTTGTCTATTGTTTCTTTATTCTTCTTTGTTCAGGATTTTACATTTGCAAATATCCATACACTGCAGATTTGTATTTTTTCCTCTATATCTCACTATTCTACGATTGAATAATGGTGCAGCTGTAAGTTTAAGGTCAAAATGGCGCTTCAAAATGGTGGATATTCCTTTTTTTTCAAATTATTTCTTAATGTCGTTTACATAATCGAAAGGATTTGTGAATATTTTATTGAGTGATGTACAACTAATGTAAAATTCCAATAGAACACTAGTATGATCACTTTAAATCGGAAAATTAGTCGTTTAAATTTAAAATGTGTTATTTAGCTCAAAATGGCAATTCGAATGACGTGTTATACACTCGATTTCGTAAAATACCCAAACTGCTTAATTCTGATTTGTTTTGCAGAAAATAAATAACAGTTTTTTTTATTCATGAAATAATGTTCAAATATGTGATGGAAGTTAATGGATATTTTCATTAATGACTTAGGATTTTTATAAAACGGATTTTTGTTTAATTACTTCTATTATTAAGATAATTTTTTAGGACAATTCCAAACACATTTTACCTATTATCCATCATACATGTATCATGCTTCTTCATATAAAAAGTTAATAATATCATACAATAATTGCTGTTTTGGGGATAATATGAAAATTAAGCTACTCCAAGAGCAGTTACAATTCACCGAGCATTAAGGCGAGTGAACATTGTAGCTCGAGGGTTGCTAAATCATATCAGTTGTTGGAAATTCTTGATCTAATTTTAGTCCAGTATAGAAAAAAATATTTATGGTCATGTGGAAGATCTAGTGCAACATAACTTAGTATGATTTTTAAAATGATGAACCACGAGCAATTAGATTGCTACTGCTAGTAATTGTTACATTATATAAATCTGAATATATTATAATATCCAAACATAAACATATTTATTAAGAATTATCAGTATAATATACGTAAACCATATATATTCTTGAATGCCCAGCTCTGATTCTGTGTCCCTACATTTGCATTTTGTTATTCTCAGTCAAAAATTCAACTGCATTCTCAAATATTTCATGGTGTGAACGGTCCTCCTCCACCAATTTTGTATTGAACAGTGTATATAAATTAAAAAAAATTTAAATTTACAAAATCTTTGAATGAAAATGTTTGTGTTCAATCCTTCCTCGATTCTTGATACAACTTTACACTATCCTAACGAAGAAGTGTGGATCAAGTTGCCTTGTAAAGTTCTTGGAGTGTTCAAGAAAATTTTGTTGTCAAGAGAAGTGTTGACTAGATCGAAGTCAAGAATGGCTTATGCCTATTGTACGAAAGCTTGTAAGTGATAGGAATCACGAGGAATCTGCAGGCGCTATTAAATTGCATAATTTTACAACTTTTCTCACCAAAATATGCACACAATGTGATTCCAGATGATGAAGTTTGAGAATTTTCGTGCTAATAGAATGACCTTTCTACCCAAAAAGAAAACAAATCTATACGCGGTCACGAAATAAAGAGCTACAAGTCTTGAATATCAGAGATTTTTTATACCCCCCCCCCGATTGAAAAGCGGGAGGGTATAGAGTAGTCGGTATGTCCGTCCGTCTTTTACGCTTTGGGGTACCCGTCTCGTATTCGCAACTCGTCTCATACCACTGAATGAAATTTGTTAAACTTTCACAGAACCTTTATTACATATTGCCATTGTGCACCTCCTCTTTTACTTTTTGATCCAACAAATATTTTGGGTTTCACATAGGAAAACATGGACACTGTGTATTCATAGTTATTCATATGGGTAACGGGGGTATCATTTAGTGAGCTAATTGCTCATAGTACCTCTTCTTCATTTTGCATAAGGTTTTGGAAAACAAAATAGACTTTTAACATTTGAACATAAAATGTATTTTTCCTTGAGTGTTGATTGATTGTATATTGTTTAACGCCGAGTCGGTTATTTTTCAGCCATGTTTCGGCGGACTATCAGTTTAAATAATCGGTTTTTGGAGGATTTTCGTTTCTCTGGTGGCCCCCTGTGAGCTTACTCTTTTTCGAACTCCAGAGAAAAGATCTTTTACGTGTCAAGTGGGTTGTCATCCTTGACACAGGGCACCG